CCATTTTCAAAAAAGGGGACCAGAGGGTGTGCTCCAACTATCAGGGAATCACACTGCTCAGCCTCCCTTCTGTCCTGGCTGTGGAACAGTAGACCAGCTCTTTACCCTTGCGATGCTGCTGGAGGGGTTGTGGGAGTTTGCCCATCCAGTCTACATGTGCTTTGTGGATTTGGAGAAGGCTTACGACCGCGTCCCCCGGGGAGGTCTTGTGGAGGGCACTGCAGGAGTACGAGGTACCGGGCTCGCTGCTATGAGCCATCCAGTTCCTGTATGACCAACGTGAGAGCTGTGTCCACATACTCAGCATAAAGTCACACATGGTCTCAGTGGGTGTTGGCCTCCGCCAGGGATGTCCCTTGTCACTGATCCTGTTTGTGATTTTCATGGACAGGATCTTGAGGCGCAGCCCAAGGGGGAGGAAGGGGTCGGTTGAGGTGGTTCAGGCATCTGATCAGGATGCCTCCTGGGCACCTCCCGCTGGAGGTGTTTCGGGCACGTCCCACTGGTAGGAGGCCCCGGGCCAAACCCAGAACACGCTGGAGGGATTATATATCTCATCTGAGGGACGTCTGGGGTGCTTTGCTCGGCCTGCTGCCCCAGCGACCCAGCCCCAGATAAGCGGATGAAAATGGATGGATGGATGGATATCACTTTGGAGAGAATCCCTTTCAGTTTGAATTAAAACAATATTTTTCTGTTGCTCTGTATCAAAAACAAAAACAACACAAAGCAAAACAAAAAATTTAATCCACTGTGGTTTGATGTTGTAAAATGATAAAACAAAAAATACCTCAAAGCAAGTGAATTGCCCTGCATACTTTTGTTCTTTTTCTCCTGGACCACGACTTGCCCTCACTCACAGCAGGAGCAAAATCTGAAACCAGAGTTAGTGTGCCAAACACAAGGTTTGCAACTAAGTTTCCAGCAACAAGGAGAACCAAGCTGAGTTAGCACCCCAAAGTCTAACTTTGCAAGACTGTTTAACTTTGTCAATTGTGATTTAATGCTGTTTATTTAGTCATTGTTGTGATTGTTTGCAGTTAGGTTATTGGTTAGTTGGCTTCGCCAAAGCTAAGTGATGTTAGATTGCTAATGCTTTTCACAGACAGAGTCCTGCACGCAACTAAACATCCTCTGCACTAATCCAGACCCTTTGTAACACGTATCACTTTCACACAGACTCATTTACAAAGCTCATTCACACAGTCAGGCAAAATCTCCTCCGATCTGAAGCCAGCTTTGATTCCGCTATCTTGTAGTTCCCTGTTGTCAGCCATTTTGTTTTGTAGGCCGAACGGCCCTTTGTTGCACACACTTCTCTCTCTCTCTCTCTCTCTCTCTCTTTCTTTCTCTCTCTCTCTCTCTCTCTTGCACACACACACCCACAAACACACACATGCTTGTATATAGTTAGTTAGAATTTGTGTGTTTTGATGCTTTGCCTTCTTTATGAATAAATATATACTATACTATACTATAAATATATACTTGGTATCATACCTGCTGTCACAATAGTGAATGAATAGTCAAGCATTCCGTAAATCCTCCAGGGTTTACTATTAATTTTGGTTATGGTTATTAATTTAATTATTAATCAAAATTCCAAACTATAGTTTAGTAAACTTTATGAGACTGATATCTTTAACTGGCTATCATTTTTCCCTTCATGGGAATGGTGCCCCACGAAGTGATTTAATGTAATGCACTTTCCTAAGGGATATTTTGTACTATTTTTTTTTTTACTTTGTGGAATATGTACAGAATTAAATGATAGAAAAAAAAATAAGTTTGCAATATTTTGAAAAATATATTTTAAAATGGAGATCTATCACGAGGTCAGGCCCATGTTAAGGCTTAAGTCCTAACAAATGGTGCCGCCAATGTAAAACATATCACTGGTGCCTAGATCACAACATTCTGGTGTCCCTGTGTGACATATAGTATTGTTCTAGATTTCCAACAAACAGTATCCCTTCTTTTTATAATATATATGTAGTTTCTAACACCTCTCTCTCTCTATGATTATAGGAGCGGTATCTCCTGCAAATCAGCTTCAATCTACTCTGCTTCAAATATCAGGCTCCAATTTCAGCATGCCGCCAGATTGCAGACTCTGCTTACCAGTCACTCTCGTTTTTAATCCTTCACTATTGACTTGCTTGCCAATACCGGTTTCCCTGTGCTCGCAGCATTTTTCCGCTTTGACTCCTGCTTCCTGCTCCACTCTTTCTCCACCTGGTAACCATCCGGAATCACATCAGCTCTCCCCTGCACTGAAACTCCTGCTCAACTGAGAAACCACCTAGACCTCATCTGCTTTGTTCATCTCACCGCTCTGGAACCTCTCGGCCAGCTTCCACAGCCCAGCTCCACTGCTTCACTTCACCTCAGACTTTTGCCTCCCAGTACTTCCAGTACTCCTCCACTCATTTATTTACTAATAAATCACCTACTTGATTCTGCTCCCAGTCTGTGTCTTTGTCTGCATTTGGGTTCACTTGACTAGTTTCGTAACAGTGGGAGGTGGAATTCAACACAGTGTGATGGTAGAGTCCCCTCCACACTCTCTCTGGTTTAGCCACACCCTGCAATCATTGTCAGCAGGTGAGTCTAATCACTCCCAGCTTTCTTAAATGTAGCTGTGAGCAGCAAGCAGCAGGTATTGCCTCAGTCTATCCTGACCATTTGAGGAATGCAAATCTCCAACTAAGGTATGCAGTTTTATAGCTTGTGGGTTATATTGTTGGCGCATGCATTAATGCTTCCCTCACATCTATACAGGTGATTTCAGGGATATGGGAGCTACTTGAAAGCAGATCATACTTGTAATCATGTAACTTTCAGTTCCCAGGTATGTTAATTTCTTTAAGTTGTTTCTAGTATGGTTTTGTTTAATACTCTGAGTATTTAGATTTTATTTTTATTTTTATTTTGTTACTATTTTAACCATTAAAACATGTTTATTGTCTAATACATTTCCATACATGCCATCGCACAATTTGTATAACATGTGCTCTTTACAATAGGAGCAGGAAAATGATGCCAGCCATGACTTAGTTTTTTGCTGCTTTTACAAAGGAGCTCTGGCCACTGCTGTTTTTGCCCTTCTACAAATTTATGTTATGTATATGGTTACCTTGTGTTATTGTTTATAAATTTTTGATAGTTTTGTTTTCTTTGTATAAACCAATCCTGTGGGGCTCTTTTTAGTGTCAGTACAGGTGGGCTGTCATACGCTTGCAAGTGGTGGGTCACTGGGTGAAGGGTCTCTGTCTCCCCTTTCTGGGTCTTATTTGCATGTGTATTCTAACCCATGTGCCCTTTTTGTTTTGCAGTGTGTGTGTGTGTGTGTGTGTGTGTGTGTGTGTGTGTGTGTGTGTGTGTGACCTCTTCTCCCCCATACCGGTGGTGGTGATCCCCCCCCTTTCCCTCACTCCCCTAGGCTCTCTGACAACTCCCCTCCTGTACTGGTACTCATCTACCTATAGTGATGTCTTTTTAGCTAAGTGTAAATGTGTATATATATTTTGGATAATAAACTGTAAATTTTAACCTGGCCCAATTTTATGATTGATTGGAATAAAGAAGAATAAAGTTTAGAATAAACTTAAGGTTGAAACTGTAAATTCATGTCTCTGAGAGAGAATTTAGGAACCAAGTCAATAAATAAAACACATAGATTAGGTCGTGCAGACGGGGTTAGAGAGATGTATCACATGAGATGATTAGAGAGTGTCAGTGACTGAACATAGTCTGTTGGAATGAGTCCTGCATCTGACTGTAATATTTAAAATCTATTTGGATCCTGGCCTTCACCATCCTGCTGAACAACAGCATTACATCTATATCCACCATGTCCTCCTCTTTCCTCTTCCTGCTCACATATACTGCCATCTTAGCCTGCCCCAGAATGAAGTTTAAAAGTTTGCACTTCCTTTCTGCTGCCTTTCTGTACTTAAAAACCTATACAGAGAACTTTTTTCCAGCACTGCTAAAAAGACTCCTCAGGAGGGTGAACAGAGGAGTGAGATGTGTGCACTCACTGTAGCAGTAGAAGACTGTCTGCCTCTCACCACAGAACACACACCGGTCAGTGTGCCCTGGGGTGATGACGGACAGAAAGGAGTTCACTGCTACTTTGCCATGCAGTACCTTCCACTGTAGGTCTGCCACTTTCTTAGTCAGAGGGCCTTTATAAAGACCTCATCACCCAGCTGCAGGTGACCCTTCCATGGAGTGTCCACACAGTTCAAAGTCCTTTCATTGAGACACTTGACCATGACCATGTACAGGGCCTTGCCAGTGGCCTCCTGCAGGCTTAAAGTGCAGTGCTGTGTGTTTAAAAACCAACCAGAGCAGTTTGTGTGTAGTTCATTGACGGTCAGCTTGGAGTCCAGGGCTGTGTTGGAGGCAGCGTCCACCTGGGGCAAGTTGTTAAAAAACAGTCCACCCAGCTCTGGGTTATCCATAAACTCGTTTGAATATAGTTCTCTGTAAAACTGTGTGGCGTACCTCCGGATCTCTGGGCCTGTCGTGAGTGAGGAACCATGGAGTGGATGATCTTCTTCTGGCCATTTTCCTCTCCAGGCTGAAGAAGAACTGAGATGGCGCATCCATGTATGAGGCGTTCAGGAAGCAGGATTGGACCAGCGCCCCCTGCACTGTAATACCCAGCAGGTTGGCTAAAGCAGCCTTTTTACTTTTAAGGGCTTCAAAATGCCCTTGTTCTCCTGTACAGTCTGCTAAACCTTGCAGCTGTACCACCTCGGTCTTTAGGTCCTGAAGAGACCTGGTAATGTGCCTTGTGACATTGCGAGCATACTGTTTACAAAACTGCTGGATTTGGACTTTGCCAAGATCACACCACTGCTGCAAAGAAATAAAACTGGACTTTTTGTCCTTGTGTAAAACCCATAAATAATTAAAACCCTCTCTAATGTCGTTTTCACACCTAATAGTCCGGACCAAGGTCCGGACTCTTTTCTTTTTCTTTTTTTTTTATATGTTTCCATTTAGTCCAGTAAAGTCCGCATTCACACTGCCATTATGCCAGCGGACCAAAGAATCTACCTACGTCATGACGTCATTACCCATAAGGGCTGCGCCGTCAGTGATTGGCTTTTGGATGAGTGTGCGTCTGACGTCAGCGCGTAGGAAGTGCTCTGAGGCAGGAATAGTTTGTTTACCGTCTCCCACCACAATGGATCCACGGATTCACTCCATTCCACTGGCACTACTTTGGCTGCGCCTCCAGCAACAGCAACAACAACTACAATCGCAATACGCGAGACTAGTTCGAGTCAAACAGATTCATGTCCTGATGCGCTTGCATTTCCGACGTAGACAGGCAAGAAGGCGAAGAAGGCGAAGACTGCGAGCTAGCCTGCAGGCATTAGCAGCGTTCCGGGGGAGGCAAACAAGGTGAGTGGTAGTGTGTTTCAAAAGATGAGCGATCATGATGGAATGAGTGCTGTCTGTTTTGACGGTTGTAACAACAACAACAACAACATGAACATTAGACTGTAGATTTACCCCCTCACGATCTTGTATTGTCTTGTTAGCAGCTGTTAGCAACTTAGCACTCGGACTAGCCTCCAAACTGTTCCCTAGACAGCAAAATCCCAAAAGCATTGTCTGTGTTGTGGCATAAAGAACACACTTCCAATGCGACATACAATGTACCGTAGTATAATACAGTATGTCTCAGTCCTATAGGAATTTAGGTTTCTGCTGTACAAACATTCCAGTGTTCTGTATTTTTAAAGAGGCTAAACAGAAAATAGACTCCTACTATACCCTGATTCTTGCTTTTGTTCTTGTTCTGTGATGTCCTATCTGTAAAGCACTTTGTGCATTTGTTTGACAAGTGCTCTATTAAAAAAAAAAAAAACATTATCATAAACAAATACATTCCTGATTACAGATGCTCACAGCCAGTCACAACTAACAACACAATGATGTGAGAAAAGCATTTAAACATTTCAAACATTCTCAACTGTGTTGAGAGAAGCTTTCTGGACTCTTTTACCTGCAAAGCCACCAGAAACAGATACAACACCAGACGACTAGGTTACTCAGTACCTGTAGCTTTCAAGTACACCATTTGCACAATTGTCATTGTGTGTCAAGGTAGGGTAAACACAGGTGTGACCAAATGACATTAACATTTGTATTTATGTCCCTCCCCCCTTCTACAGGAACATTTGGGTCAAACCACGGTGTCATGAATGGTGGCAGCAAGTGTGTGACAGCTGGACAGAAACTGATTGGCAGCGGAACTTCAGAATGACAAGAGCTACCTTCAATGTACTGTGTAACATTCTTCGAGGACAGCTAACCAGGCAGGATACCAGATTTCGCAAAGCGGTATCAGTGGAGTTGCGTGTGGCAATCTGCTTGTGGAGGCTCGCAACCAATCTCGAGCTCAGATCTCTCTCTCACCTCTTTGGTGTGGGATTGTCAAGTGCCTGTTCCTTCACACAAGAAGTTGTCAGTGCCATAAATGAAATCCTGGCCCCACAATACCTCCACACACCTTCAGCTGCTGAACTTGAAGGAATCGTCAGAGGATTCCGTGAGAGATGGAAGTTTCCACAGTGTGCTGGAGCTGTGGATGGAACTCATATTCCCATCCTGGCACCACCTAACAACTCAGCAGATTATTACAACCGTAAGGGGGTCTATTCTGTTATCCTCCAAGGTGTTGTTGATCACAACATGAAATTTTGGGATGTAAACATTGGCTGGCCGGGGAGGGTTCACGATGCCCGTGTGTTCTCAAACTCGTCCCTTTACCAACGAGGACAGAATGGAACACTACTGCCAGGAAGGAGTGAAACCATACAGGATGTGGATGTCCCTCTAGTTATCCTAGGAGATGCCGCATATCCACTGCTGCCATGGCTAATGAAGCCATACCCAGAGGGCAGAGGGACAACACAGGCACAAGCGGCTTTTAACACCTGCCTGAGTCAAACCAGAATGACAGTGGAGAGGGCTTTTGGACGATTGAAGGGAAGATGGAGGTGCCTATTGAGGCGATCAGACTTTGAGGTCAGTTTCATCACTGACGTCATCTTCGCCTGCTGTGTCCTCCACAATTTTTGTGAGAGTCACAACGAAGAGTACATCAGTGATGATGAAGATGATGAACATGATGGGAGACCAGACCCTGCTGACCATTACATTGGTGGTGACAGTGGGAATAACATCAGGGATGCCTTGTGTACTTATTTTTCTACTCTCTAGTTTGAGCATAATTCACAGTTTGAGCGTGTTTATGTTGTTTGATATTTCTGTGTTCAGAATTACACAAGTGTCATATTGTGCTATGAGAGACAGCCCTCAGGAATAAATATTTTTGTTTACCATAGCAATTGTTTATCTTGTGTTGTTGGTCACGCACCTGCCATTTCAGTACGTTTGATTGAAGGACAGAAACAACATAATGTGCAAACATGTCATCAAAATTTATTTAGAAAAATCAGGATGTAGTATGAAACTTCAACAGATTTGGTCATATAAAAATAAATATTACATTAAAAATGAGTCTTTAATTACAATAACTTCAATTAAATAAATTGCTCTCAGAGGCAGGAGAAGTGGAGCCAGAACGGCTCAGAGCTCACAACAACAGAACAGCCCTCCTGTGACCATCTTTGAAAATAAAATTTTCTGCTCCTGACTTGACAAAATGTGATCACCATACTATAGTGTAGTGTACCTATCCTCACTCTCTCCATCTCCATATAGCAGGTCTCTGCTCTGCTCCAAAAGGTTCGGAGTGTGGGCCCGGGTAGGTGGGTGTGGAGGGTGGGACTGCTGTGCAGACCACCCAGAAACACGAGGAGGAGGAGGAGGTGGGTGATATAAGGGTTGCTGGGGAGGATACAAGGGGCCCCAGGATGCTGCAGGTTGTGGAGGTTGTTGGCTCATGCTTTGCATGAATGTCTGCATGATGTTCATGAACATGCCATTCGTGGCCGCCTGTTGCTCCTGCAGCATCCTGAAGCGCCTCTCTTCAGCCTCCTGCTGCATTCCCATCCACCTCTCCAGAGTGGCATTCTCCCTCTCCTGACGAGCATCCTCTGCCCGGTTAAACTCCTCCATCATCTCCGAGTGCATCTCCTTGGCCCTCCTCTTGCGAGCACGGCGAGGTGCTGCTGTGCTTGGCCCATCCTCAGCAGAGCTGGAAGCAGCAGTTACTCCTGTAAAAAGAGTAGCAATGCAGTTATGAATTTATAAAAATGTCTTCACAATATTCTGCAGTAGCTATACAATATGGCCACCCACAAACCTAGAATAGTAAAATCAATCATGTCATCATGTGTTGGCTATAGAGTTTCATTATATTCTATCCTATCTGTATGTGCTGTGTTATGCGAGTCAAGTCAGGTGTTCCCTTGGGGAAATATGGAAGCAGCAACAACATTTGGAGGGGCCCAGTCAGGACAAGAAAAAAGTAATGATGACAAATAACAACTACAACTGATAGCTTGTTAAAGGTGGTGATAGTTATGGTAAAATGATGCTAGTGTTTTGGGGGTGCAGCTGTACTCTCCCTCCTTATGACTGATAAAATATAACACTGCACATGCCTGAGCCCAGATCATTGTGAGTACTCATATCACAAATGAAGTTTTTTTGTTGTTGTTGTTGTTGTTGTTAGGCTATATGCAGCACAGTCATCACAGCAATGGCAGAAGATAGAAGCAAACAACCAGTTTCTGGCAAGAGAGGGACAATTATTTGTTTATTTGTTTCTTGTAATTGGATCCCCATTAGCAGATGCACAGCAGCCACTGATTTTCCTGGGGTCCACCCATGAAATCAAAGTATAAATAACACTGCAAATAATAATAATAATGACAATAGCAGACACATTATGTGGCTCAACTCACCACTTTCTGAAGCACTGGGACCGCTGCCAGATGACGTGTCGGCGCTGGGGGTCGCACCCGCAGCGGGTGTAGACTCCATCACCCTGACAGGTGAGCTTGTCGGGCGCGTTCCAAGGATGCCATCCAGCTGATCATAAAAAGGACATTTATCCTTTTCGTTGGATGACGCACCGGTCTTCCGAATGGCATCGCGCGCCTTGTTATAAGCCTGTCGCAGCTTTTTCAGTTTGCGGTGACACTGTTCGGCCGTCCTCTCGTACCCCCCCTCTCTCATCCTCTCCGCGAACAGCTGGAAGGTTTCCGTGTTCCGGTGTGTTCTCTCAAGTTCAGCTTTTATTCTATCATCCGCCCATATTTGAAGGATGAATCTTGTCTCCTCCTCTCCCCAGGTGTTGCCGCGGCTCATACTGTGTTTGTTTTGTTTAGCTTACACGTGGGGTGAAAGTGACGTAACGTCCTGTATTTGGTCTGATAGTTCAGACCTTCCAAAAACATGCTTTCACACTACGCAGTAGTGGACCTTGGTCCAGGATGGTCCGGACCGAGACCACCTCCTGAGGCTGGACCAAAGACTCGGTCTTTAGTCCGGACCGTGGTCCGGGGGAGCTTTCACACCTGTCAGTTTGATCCGAACTATCTGGAAAGTCCGAAAGTCCGGACCAAACGAGGTAGGTGTGAATGCCCCCTAAAGCCATTATCTAATAAAACAGCTGTGTTAAAATGCCAATATGCGCTGGTTATCTTAACATTGGAGATAAAAAAAGAGCACTGAACCAGAGAATGGTCTGTGAAGCCGACAGGTGTAATATGACTTGATTTAAAAATGCTAAAAAGATGTTTAAAGCAATAAAACCGATCAAGTCGAGCCATAGATAAAACATTATCGCGGCTGTGGCTCCATGTGTACTGCCTGGCATTTCTATGGAGCCCTCTCCATACATCCTGCAGCTCAGGAGCTTCACTGAGGCGCTGCAGCCGAGCACAAGAAGCAGGGTGGGGCTCCAGGCGATTCCTGTCTGCAGTGGGATGCTCTGTGCAATTAAAATCACCTCCTAGAAATAAGTGCTCTTCTGTGTTTAAGCTGCTAATAGCATCAGATAAAATGTCTAAAAAGCTCATTCTATCTTTGCTAAAAACAGCTAGGGGCATAAACACAAATAAAAAACATTTTAATACTCTCAAACTGTGCTCTGACCTTCAAAATGTGGCCTGATAAAACCTCCTCCGCTTCAACGGAGTGAGGGTTAAAAGCCTTATTAAAAAGCACACCGACTCCAGCACTACTAAAAGATTTGTGGCTGAGAAAAACCTGGCCTGGCCACTCCTTTTCCAATCTCTTTCATTTTCATCATCACTATGGGTTTCTTGAATAAATAATACATCCAGTTTTTTAATATCAATAAGTTTATACAGAGAGGCTCTCTTCACATCACTTCTGGCACCGTTAATATTTAAAGAACCAATATTAATGTTAGTCATAGTGATATAAAAAGAGATCAGTAAAAAAATGGCCATAATAGTGTGATAAGACATTTTAAAATGAATCATCAAGGTCAGCGAGCTTCACCCTGGCTTTTGTGACAAACTTGTTGAGCCTGTAGACTTCCTTTACTTCAAAGAGTCCTCCATCTTCTTCAGGCGTGTCACCGACACAATGAAGCCTTTCATGTCAGGGAAGAAATTCTCAACCTGCACAGCTGCTTTCCTTTTTGTGTCTTTTAGGAACTTTTTAATCTCTCTTAATGAGTAAGTGGTGGTCTGAGCCTCCTGAGATGGAGTCATATCACACTCCTCACCCACTTCATCCTCAATATCTTCCTCCACCTCCACTTCCTCCTCCTCCTCCCCCTGACACTCACTGATTTTCCTTTTTCCTGTTTTTTTATCCTCAGCCATGTCCTCCTCCATCACCTCATTCACCACCTCATCAACATTCACATTATGTTCCTTATTCTTCTTTTCCTGTTTACTTTCTTTAGCAGGTGTGACCGTGCTCTTTTTAGCAGGAACTTTTTCCTCCTGGCTGACAGCCTGCTCCTGCTCTATCTCTTCCTGATCACTTTGTCCTGCAGTCTCATCAGACCGCTGCACACCAGGCGAGTCAGGTGAGTCCGTCTCACCTGAACCCGCGTCACCATCAGCCGCCGCATCAGCCGCCGCATCAGCCGCCGCAGGCTCTGGAGCACCGCGCCGCCGGCTCGCCGGATGCCGAAGCGCCTGGTTTGCCGGGGGCCAAAGCCCCGGTGCGCCTGGATGAGGCACCGGGGCCCGGCCCTGCAGCGCCTCCAGCAGCCTTCCTGGCTTCAGGGCAGGCTCAAGCCAAGTGCCCCTCAGCCCCGCAAGCAAAACACTTTGATGTCTCAGATGTTACAAAAACGATGTCGGGTTTTACCTCCCATCATCATCATCTTTATCGGGGAGATGACCCGTCCGTAGCGGGACAGTTCTGCGGCCAGATCCTCATTGTTAATGAATGGTGGCGCGTTGGAGATCATAATCCTCCTTGCCGGGTTAGCCAGAGGAAACACTGGCGTGAAGGTATCATTGAACACCACGCCACTTTCCACCACTTTCTCTGCCTTTGCCACATCATTCAGGAAGATGACTATGACACTGTTCATTCATGAGGCAGCTTTAACACCTTGGAACCCCACAAGCTCTCTGATAGCATAGGCTGCATCTCCAACTGAACAGCTGACTGCCGGCAAAAGTTTGACAGCATGTCGCCTCGTCAGTTTCTGCAGCTCCTCCTCCTTCACTCCAACACCGGGCATGATGCCCGCGGCCACACACACACACACTGACCGACACAAAACTCACAAAGTACACTAAAACATACACAACAAACAAACAAACATAGAAAAGTTTGGAAAACGCACTCACCACCGTCAATCACTCCACACTCATGTATAATTCTCCACTGGAGGTCAGCCATCCATTTCTCAACAGGAGGCTTATACAGGACCCTCCACCTGCCTTTCGGGGTAGAGTCTGAAGTAAAAACCTCATTCCACCTCGACTCTTTTACCTCAGCCAGAGAGCGAAGGTTCAACACCTTCACACAACTCTGATATAGCAGCTTCTTCCCACAAGAACTGAAATTGCCCAGCACTGGTGTTTTTAGAGAGAGAAGTCTTCCACTCTCCTCTCTCCACTCTCCAACAGCAGGACTGACAATCATGGAAAGGCAAATGTACTTTTCTTCACTCCACTGGTCAACCAGAGCACGATTTTTTGCAAACACTCTCAGTGGCACAGACAGGGACTGCCAGACTTCCTCCACAATCCTCCTCAGCACTCTTGATGATCTGATGTTAGTGATATCACCAAGTGTTTCCATGGAAGCTATTGTCAGATGTCCCAATTTAATAATGCCAGCCTCAACAATCTTAGTCCTAAATGTACTGGAGGAAAACATGGTGTTTACAAGGAAGTCATTATAAAACAGCGGCTCCTCAAATAGCCACATTTC